TCTGTGTTTTAGTTTGGTTTAGCTGTAGGCCTGAGAGTGTGTAATTGTTTAGAGAGAAAGGAATTTATGGACACTGGGGGTCTGCCTGCCATAAAGTGAGACAGGAAGCTACAGTTGGGGGTTGCTGATGCTGATGCTTGTACCTTTAATACAACTCATAATTGTTATGAACTTAGAAGTAAGTTTGTAGGAGACTCTCCACATGATCTGTAAATGTAAGACAAGAAGAGGCCACTGGCCCAGTGGATGCAGAGTGGGAGTCTATTATTTTTTTAATATGTTAACTCTGTTTTGTATGTTGTCTAAAGGAATTTGGTGTAGCTTAGGTGAGGAGATTACTGTTATGACCGTCAAGAAGTCACCTACACAGAGACACACACACACACACACACAGTGCTTAAACTGTTACACTCACACTCACTGGCGTGCACTCACATAGATATACGGGTACGCACACACACAGGCACTCACGTGCTCGTGCATACACACACAGACACAGAGTTTGCAGCACACCATGGGGGTTTTATGATGGGGTCACTTCTATTAAGCTGGTTGTAACAGACAAAGGAGTGAAGATCTGCAGAGGGACCCCGGCTTTGCATATCTCCCCTTCTAGAAGATGCATTGAATAAAGGTTTTTGTGAAAATGACTACTGAGTTCCGGTGCGTCTCTGGATGCCCGAGGAATAAAAAGAACCGGGGTGAAACTGATTTCGCAACAATAGCTAGCAAAATAATAATTAGAATGAAAAAAATAGCATGTGTAATGTACATGTACTGGAAAATTATTTACTAGGACTCACCTAATGCGACTGGAGAAAGCAAACTCTGCCACTGCTGTTTTCCATCAAACACTCATTAAAACAGAAACCTACATGTATGTTAGCGCACTCATCCCGACTGCCCGGGGCAGGGGCACACATTAAAACAGACAGCGGTGCAAGGCAGCCCAGGCTGAGAAATTTTGCTTTTACATTTTGCGACTCATTTTATTTCTCTATCTGAAAAGAA